TACAGGTACAGTGCCACGAGTGCCTGAGTCTGGCTTGCCTTCCTGTGGCGCCAACCGGATGTTTGGGAACTCGTGGCCAGCTACGTACCCGCCACTTCCTTCTTGAGCCTGCTGCAGCAACTTTGATATTTCCCCAGGCTATCAAATATGGAGATAGGTACGCAAATGGCCAACACGCAAACCGCACCGCACGAGGTATCCATCCTCCGGACATGCGCCCCGGTGGCGGCGGGAACTGGAAGCAGCAAACATGTCATCGTGATGCGATGCTTTGATAACGTGCCCGGCTCCGTTCGCCGACGACGCCGACTACGACTACCACTGCTGCAACAGACACTTCTCTAACGACCCGGCTCGCTGGTTTGACGGTACGCATTGTGCGGGATCCAGGGACGCGGCCATCGAGACCAAAAAGATCATAGACCTCTTCCACTCCTCCCGTTCGGCCCCCATCCTGAGGCTATGCGACGCTTCATCGGCCGAGAAGCGAGAACATCCGGAACCGCAGAGTAAAGACCGGGTTTCGGAAGTCTCGAGACCTCAGCTCACCGGGGCCTTGGATCATGCGGCTCAACACGCCACAACGAGAGCGAGACCTCACAGCATCCGCAGCGCCTCCTGGAGCGTGATCTCCCCGCCTCGGTAGAGTTTGACATCCCACGCGTTGCGACGCCTCTTGCCGTCGGTTCCTCTCTCCGGGGACCAACCGTCCGTCACGAGGAGGCGAAAACCCCCTTTTGGGGAGCCCCAAATACCAATCCACCAGCACCTATGTCTCGCCCAGATTGCATAAGATGGGCCAAACATTGAGGAATTTGGAGCCCCCCACCCCACACAGGAGGAGCGACAGAGGAGAGGGGGATGGGACATTTGACAGCAGAGATCATCCTTCCCACGTTTCATCCCATCTTTCCATCTGTTCGGCGCACACAATCTCTGTTATGTGTCTAAACCCCATGACCTTTTCCCTCAGGATGGGGGCCCTCCTTTGCGTCCCCAACCTCCTGGTAAAAACCTCCTGCCCATCTGTCGATCCCCCTGCCCTCGTCCTCGGTGGGATTGAAGTTTGGGATTGGGGGTCCATTCGGTGAGAGGGAGACACTGAGCGAGACCCCTCCCTGGATCGTCACGGTGAGAGAAGGGAAGCAAAACAAAAGTCACCAGCCGTGAGGGGGGAGGAGGAGGAGGAGCAAGGTCCTCATTCCCAAACGCTCCAAATTTCCCGGGGCTGTGGTTTTGGAACTCTTCTCTCTGGCTTCTTTCCTTCTTTCCAGAGGAGCCCAGCGAGGGAGCCAGCCCAGGTTCATGGTCCGGGTCCGGGTTCAGGGGAGCCCCCCCCCCCCCCCGGAGGCCCGCAAACGACGACAGACAGGGCGGACGGCCGGTCCCAAGTTACCAAATGCCCTTTTTTCGCAGCGGTGGGGCCTTCATGGACCATGCGGACCGGGACCTGGACAACGGCATCCCGGGGCATGGATCCCGGGTCCCCGGGGGCCATGATGAGAACAATGTCTCCTCTTGTTCTTTTCTTCTTCTTCGAACCCGGACCATCTCCACTCTTTGCCTCCATCCACTGGGAAACACTGCCGGTCCACGTCGACGGTGGCCGTCTCCACCCGCCGCGAGAGAAAGTGACAACGGCCCCGGGCGACATGAACACCGTCCACGAAAGCCTGCACCGTGGTCCGTACCGCACCGCTGTCATCATCCATGGAAATCACGATTGACACACACCCTCGACGAGGTTGCTGTGTTGACCCCTCCCCCACCCCGGCTGAAGCAACTGAAGCAGATCCACAGCTTCTTCTCGCTTGGCCTCTGCTCCTAATTTACCACGTTATTTCCAAATTTCAGATTTTCCTTCTAGCGGGACCCTCTTTTTCCTTCTTCTCGCCTTCTTCCGTGTCTGGGCAAAATGCCCATGCCCATGCCCATGCCCAACACACACAACTCCACCAACAGACAGACAACGGGCTTCACCTTCTTCTTACCAGCCCCCCGGGGACGGGCAAGAGGACGATGCACCATGGCCGCTACACTACCTACCACCCCAACACCCCTCCCCTTGAACTGCCAGCGCAGCACCCATCACACCGCAAACCCCAATTTTAAAACCGTTGGGCTGCTGTGCTTGCTTGCCTAGCTGGCCGACGGGTACCACCACCGCCAATCCACCCCTTCACCGATGACCGCGCTGGCTGGCACAGCTGGGCGCTAACACTGACGCTACCGTTCAAGCGCTGGGCGGCTCATCTCATCATCTTCCCCGGCGACCAGGGCGATGGTGAATGTTTTCCGCTGCCCAGGGAGAGACAAACGCACATTGCAGTTTTGACAACAACCACCGACCCCCTGGGGATGTTGACTCACCGGGCCATCACTGTGAGAAAATTTTCAGTCGTCCTCGGTCAACAGACGCAACTAACACTACCGTCGGCATGGACAACTGGCAAACATGGGGGCGAAGGAAGAGCCAGCCCACCCCCGGGTCATACCTTAGTTATCTGCGGTTAGTTGACCGCCGCATCGTCCTTGACCGCATAATGGTCCCCAACGGCACGCGGCGGACGGCGCACATGCACATGCATCACCCATCATCCACCGTCCCATCCCCATCTCCATCCCATCTACCTTGCTACCGCTACCGCTACCGCTGCGTTGCGTTGCGTTGCGTTGCCTCGGTGAGGCCTCACCGGTGATGTGGACATCTTCGCCAGCCCTGTCAAACACGGGCGGTGGAGGGAAGGGCCTTGCTTGTCTGATATTCACTCATTTGCCGGCGCCCCATCCATGGAACATTTGCAATTCCTTCTAGAACTCCCGCAGACGTGCCGAGTCATTGGGTCCTACCGCTCTTCCATCCCTTGTCCCCCTGTCTAACTGTTCCGTCTGTCCCCCGGGCCCCGGGGGCGCTCTAACTCTTATCACGGTGCTACCGAGTGCCAGGCTCAACATCATCATCAAAACCTATCCGTACACCGGTACACCCTGACCGCCTCCCCTCCCCGGCGACGAGGCTTTCTAGAAGGACTTTTTTTTCGCTTTCATCTGCAAGATGACGGGGACACTGCATCTGCCGTACCCAGCGTGACCCTGCTCCTCGGGATTGTGACAGCTCACATGGGAAGGGGGGAGGGGGGGCGTGCCGCGTGCCGTGGGCGGGCGGCTTACACCTAGATTCCAGGGTACACATCGCTTGTTTCCTCTCGTCAGTCAAACCATCCAGCTGGTACCTTTCTCTCTCTCACGATATGGAGAAGAGAGGGGCCGGACGAAGGGGAAAGGAAGATCAGTGGGATATACCGGGGGCGTGTGCGTCTCCAGGGGAGGGGGGGAGGGGGATGCGGTTGTGCTGTTCACAATATGGAAACACGAGACATGAGGCTCAAAGGCGGTGTGACGATGTGCAGCAAAAAAACGTGTCGTCCGGGAACAAGAAGAAAAAAAAGGGTGGCGGGGGCAGCAAAGAGGAGGAGCAAAGGCAAGGACAACTCACGTGCGTCTGACCAACGGCATACCCTCGCGGATCCTCGTCCACTCATCCAAATCCACGTCGACGAAGCCAATGGCCCCCTCGGCGCCCTCCTCGGCCCTGCCGTCGGCGTCCACACCGCCGAGCTCCAGCCTGACGGCGCCCCAGGGATCGACGACCATGCTGTGGCCGTAGCTGCTGCGCTTCGCGTTGTGCGCGCCGACCTGCGCCGCGGCGACGACCCAGCTCTGCGTCTCGATGGCGCGCGCGCGCAGCAGCGTCTCCCAGTGCGCGCGGCCCGTCTTGAGCGTGAAGGCGGACGGGTACAGCAGGACCTGGGCGACGCCGGCGCCGCCGTTCTCGGGCAGGAAGGGGCTGCGGGGCGCCGTGTGGGTGAGGGCGAGGGCGGGCTCCGGGAAGCGGAGGTCGAAGCAGATGAGCGAGCCGATGCGGCCGACGGCGGTGGGGAACGGGGCCGTCAGGGCGGGGCCGGCCTGGACGGTGGCGGACTCGCGGAGGGCGCCGTAGTCGAAGAGGTGGAGCTTGTCGTAGGTCGCGGCGGCGTTGACGGAGCCGTCTGCGTCGATCCAGAGGCTGCGGTTGAGGAGTCGGGGCCCGCCGCCGGGGGAGGTTGGCGAGGGCGGGGCCGGGACGTGGATGCCGACGTTGACGGCGAGCGAGTGCTTCTTTGCCGCTTCTTGGAGGCCGAGGACGAAGGGGGATGTGGACTCGGGCTGGGCGAGGGAGAGAGATTCCTGGGGGCTTGAGGCGATGTAGTCTGCGGCCTCGGGGAGGAAGAGGACCTTGCGGGTGTCAGTGGGATGTATTTGTTGCGGGACGTCTTTTGTGAGGCGCTTGGGGCGAGGGAAGCCATGTCTCTGCCCTCGTGACGCCTCAGAACGAGTGTTTTGAGGAAGAAAACCGTACCTTTGCGCCACCAACAGCGGCCTTGGCGACTAGTTTCACGCACTGCTCGAGGTTATGCGCCAGCGACGCGGTTGAGCATATCTGGCCGACAGCCTGTGTGATGCCAAGACGTCAGTAAAGTTGCGGCTACACCACGTGGTCTTGTGTCAAGTTGTGGCAGCCCGTACCGCGATCGCCATTGTCTGGGAGTGAGATGGGACGATATGTTAAGACCTGGGATTGTCCTGGGATGAGACACATGAACGGTGGGATCTGAGATGGTGTGGGTGCGAGTGTACAACACCACGTGGCGGGGAACCAACGTTCAAAAGAAACTAGACCACAGGTCAGAGGTTGATGGTGGTTCATGCAAGTTTGACGAAAGTCAAGGTTGTCGTTGAAGAGGTGAGTGATGCCGTTCATCGGCATGTTTCTTGCCTTATCGCTTATCTCGCGGTGGGTTGCAGCGGGGTAGACTTGGTGTCGCCATCCCGACCATCTTCCCCGCGGTCAATGACAACATCAGATGAGACACGCCTTTTTCATCAGTCAAGTCGATTTAGTCAATCGCATTGATATGCAGTCTCTGCCTGGTCTGGCCTTGCGTGGCTAGTCCTTGGCCTCAGTACCACTCATCAGCATCGTGCTCCCCATCCAGCTTCCCCTCCTTCTCCAACAGCGCCAACGTCTCCTTGCATCTCGCAACCACGGCCTTGCCGTACTCCGGCCCGATCGGCGGCGAGGGCTTGCTGGTATCGTGCCTGAGCCAGGGAACCTTCTTTGCGCCTCCAGCCCCAGCGACGCCCTTCTTGATGGTCTCGAGCGCCTCGTCGTCGAACGCAGCCCCGAGGATGATGGCGCGGGGTGGGACGGCGTAGTTCCCCGTCCCGATGGCGCTCGAGTCCGGGTGGGACGGCGGGGTCTGTCCCGTCAGAATCGCCGGGATTATGGCGGCTCCTGAGGCGGGCGTCATGATGAAGTGGACGACTGCGTTTTGGGGGGAAAGGGTGTGAGCGGATCGGCCCGTCATCGATGCAGCCCGGGTGTGCCAGACGACTGGGGCTTACCTTCGTATTCCGGCTTCAGGCCTTCGATGACGACACGGCCGACGACCTCCGCCTTGCCGCAGACGATGACGGGGATCGGTGCCTTGGTCGTTTCGGAATCCATCCCGAGCAGTTCGCGCAGCGAGGACGGCGCGTCTTGTTGGTTCTCGGCGTCCTCTCTTGCTTTTATCTGCCACTCATGCATATCTCTCTTGGATAATTGTTGCTGCTGATTTACTCTTGGATCCTCGATTGTTGTTCGCTGCGAGTTGCTAAAGTGTCCTTGTTAGAGAGGGCGACATCCGCTCTTTAAAGGCAATGTCTCACGTCAGACCCCCTTAGTCGCCGTAGTCCGCGGTCTTCAAAGTCGCCCTCGGTGCCGAAGCTCCACGGAATTAACGCAGCGATCGATTGCTCCAAATCCGAATGGGCTTTGGCTGGCGTATGGTTATGTCACCCAATTGCATGAACCATTTCTCGTGTAATGGTTGTGGTCTTGATTCTTCAATTACAGTCCTCTTAACTATTATGATTATGACGTAGATGGCTGGCTCCATCACACGACTGGATTTATGCAATGCACTTCCATATTTACATGCCAGGCTAATCGCTTAGATCAGGCAGCCCAGGCCATTCTGGTACAGGAAATCAGAAATCTTGCTCGTCACCTCAACGTGAGAAGTGCTCTGTCGGGTAGTTAGCATTGCGTACACCCACGATACAAGGAAACAACTTACGAAAGCCAGACCGTGTCCAGCCTTAGGAATGATGTAGGCCTCGAAAGCGCTGGCGTTCTTGAAAATCATACCAGACGAGGCCGGGATCGAGGGCAGATCAGGGTTGCCGGTTGCGAGGCAGTTTCCTCCGCAGAACGGAATATCCCTCTCTGCAGAAAACACCCTCATTAGTCTGTCTGTAACAACAACATTCACAACAGTCGTGGACTTACCTCCAGTGACAATGAGAACAGGTCCCTTGAACGCGTTCGGCGACGCAGCCTCGCCGCCAACAGTCAACAACTCGCCCACCGTAACCGGCTGTCCCGCCTCGTACACGGCCGTCAGGATCTCCGGCTCGAAGTTGTCCGGCCCGAAGAAGTTGACCTGCACGCCGCCCTCGTACGCGGACGCTATGTACCCGTCCGCGTAGTCGCTCAGCGCCGGCACCTGGTTCGCCTGGATGAAGGCGCCGCCGAGGATGAAGTCCGCCAGGAACGACCCGTTCTGCGCGAAGCCCGTCAGGATGATGCCGTCAGAGACGTCCGGGTACAGCGCCGTCAGCGCGTAGCTGTGCGCGGATCCGAAGCTGTGGCCGACGTGCACGACCTTGGCGAACTTGCGGTCCTCGAGGCCGGGAAGGGTGCTGTCGCGGACCTTGTCGGTGAGCGCCTTGAGGGCGGCGACCTCGAGCATGGCCTGGATCTCGTTGACGGGCTCGCCGTGCGAGGACTGCGCGATGCCGAGGCGGTCCCAGGTCAACGTCGAGAAGCCGTAGTCGTCGACGACGGGGCCGACGTAGCTGTACTCGCCGCCCTTGGCCGAGAAGTCCCAATAGCTACGATCGAAACCAATACCGTGGGTCAGGATCTGGATGACGGCACCCGGGCCGGCGTCGGGCTCGCAGTAGGTCGAGGTCAGCTGGTAGGTTCCACTGACGTCGGCATACTGTTTGAGGTGTTAGTTGACGGTTCTGGTCGGTGGGCAAGCTCCAGAGTGTTGGTTCGCATCGACTTACATCTTTCAGTACTGTCGCGGTGTAGTTGGCCCCTTGTTGTGAGAGATTAAGCAAGAAGTTGGTTACTTCGACGTTCGTCTTGGGCGCCTCGAGATCGAAGACAGCGTTCCGTGCCGAGATGTCGATTTCGACCGTAATGTTCTTGCACATCCTGGCCGAGGCCAGAGCCGCAAAGGCCAGGGGTAGTGTTGTTGAAATTAGGTTTACCATTGTGATGAATTATGTTGCGCTTCGTCGTATGTAATGCTCACGGTAGTTGATCTGGGCTGCGTCGTGATAATCCAAGACAGTCAAGAATTGGGACATGGACAAGGCTCGCGGGTTATATACGTCAAATGCCGAGACGCGGCGATCATCGTCCTTCTCTCCGCAACAGGCTGACAGGCAAATTGTGATGAGCCCCCAGACCCGTAGTCAGGACCCATCACCACCGGGCCAGCCGCCTGCGCACGCATGATGTCAACAATCATTCCATAAGCCTCGGTATCGATGGAATTGGGCTCAATGAACTCACCGTTTGAACTGCGACAAGCTATCCGTAGCCATCCAGGCACCTGGCCGCGGTCTGGTTGTCGTTCTAGACTTAACCCAGCTGGACTAGCCGTCTAGCGTGGCAGCAACTAAGCTACACTTTTTCTGGAATGTTTTGTGTCTTAAAGGAAGCTTCGGAGTGTAAACACGCTTTGTGAGTGGTATCTAATGATTCCATATCTCCTGCATGCTCCTTCCCGTGGAGTTTGCTCCGCCTCGACTGCTCTTCGCTGCGCCCAATCCTGAGAACGAGTATCGTTAGCCTTTAACATGACAGCAAACAGATGCTGGATAGGCTATTTGAGATATTTCAAATTCTCGCAGATCTCACTTCGCGTGCGCTTAGTGAGCGACTGCTAGCCCGCAACAGATGCGCAAGATGACGGCACCACCAGGTGGACTTCCACTCAACCCGTCCTAGCTCTTAGCGGCAACGCCTCAGCCGAGCGCCGTCGACATCAAAGACTGCTGGACCCCGCCATTCTTTGAAGCCCAACTTGTTAAGGTTATTTGTCAAAATCATTTTGGTTTACAAAAAAACCCATTGCAGACTGCAGGATCAAGGGTGGTTCGACAAACCCACAAGATGGCTCGAGGCACCTGCTTGCCCAAGCTCTAAACCATTGACAATTAGCGGGCCCTGTCACGATCACTAAAATGTCAAAGATCGCCGGGGAAAATACCCGACACGTTGACGAGCCCACGGGCGCTGCTCCGCCTGACTCCGGCAGATGAAAGGCGTTGGGCCTCCGATAGATCCGGGAGTATTAGTCAGGATGATCTGCAAGTCGGGCATAGTCCGGGCCAAATTGTGACGGATGCTGAACATTGTTCTTCTCGAACAGATGCAACATCTTTTGTTTGATGCAGCTTTGTTCGCTCAAGATGTATGGCATCCAGAATTTCCATTGTTGTTCAGTTGTTGAAGGGGCAAGCAATCCGAATCGTGAGACTTGGTCGTTGTGAGTGGGGACTCGAGACACTCTTATCGGGAGTAGCCACCGGACTTCCTCGGAAAGCTCGTCACTTACATCAATCTGTCAAACGGCGCATTAGAAATTACAGAAGTCAGACTTGCGATGTCATGAAAGTAATAGTTATATATGTACGCGCACGTCCTTAGGTGACGTGCTAGACTATATCTTTTGAGTATTTACGCAGTCTCTCAAAGCTAAAGTGTCTTTCATTATGCATTATATGAAGCCTCTGGGTACTCAAAACAGCTTCCTGCTCTTGCCAGAGTCAAGTCCTCGTCGCCTTCTGCAAGGGGGAGCAGTCTTGTTCTTCAGTGCCTCTAGCGCACCGTCGTAAGCCGGGTGCTTGCTGAAGTCATCAAACCAGAGAAGGGCCGCGGCCTCGCCCTCGAAAGTGTAGGGAACCCAGCTGAAAGGGTCGTAGAAGTCCCAGATGGTGATTCCGACGCAGGCGGGGACTTGGACACAGGCTCCGACGGACTATTTGACATGTTAGTGTCATGCAAACTTTCGAGAATTGTGGTCCTCTGCTTACCGCCTTATAAGCCTCCTTCTGCCACTCCAAGTTGGTCTCGTTGACGGGAAGCTCGATCCTGACGTCCAACTCAGTCAGCGCCACCTCGACGCCGAGCTCGGCGTAGCTGCTGATGACCTCAATCTGCTGGTCCAGAGTCGGCGCGCGGTGGGCAACCAAGTGAGCCTGCATGCCGATGCCGTCGATCCTGATGCCGTCGGCCTGGAGCATCTTGACGATACCCCTGGCTGCCTCGCTCTTGGCGCCGACGCTCTCCAGGTTGTAGTCGTTGTAGTAGAGCTTCGCGTCCGGGTCGACCTCGGCCGCCGTGCGGAACGCCAACTTGATGTAGTCTTCACCGAGCACCTTGTAAAACACCGACTGGCGCCATGTGCCGTCGTCCTCGAGCGCCTCGTTGACGACGTCCCAGGCGTAGCAGCGGCCCTTCCAATGGCCCGCAACGTTTGTAATGTGGCGGACAATTATCTCCTCGAGCTCCTCGGGTGTCCACTCGGTATTTTCGACCCAGGGGGCCAGCTGGCTGTGCCAGACGAGCGCGTGGCAGCGGAGGAGTTGGCCGTTCTCCTCGGCGATGGAGGAGACGATCTCGCCCTCGGTGTAGTTGAAGACGCCGGGCTCGGGCTCGGTGAAGAGCCACTGGACGTGATGTTAGTTGATTCAGGAGGCACTCGACGGAATTGGTGACTGACCTTCTGCCCGTTGGTTGGGGTGGTCTGGCCTAACTCATTGATGTCATCCAAGATGGCATCGTACTGGGTGTAGGATGCCTCCAGACCTGCGCGTTCACGCTGTCCCGGAGAGTCGGTCGCGGCACCAAAGTAAAGCAGGCCGGCTTTCTTGGCGTAGGACTCGAGCTGGGCCGAGGCCAACGGCAGCGACGCCGCCAGCAGTGGCACGGTGAGAGACTGGAGATGCATGATAACCGCAGACCGAGCGAAGAAGACCTTTCGCAAGAGACCGAGACCGGGAGGTGAGGGAGAACAGGACCAGCAACTCCACGTCCACAGGAAGACAACTCATTTCATATATGCAAGGTCCAATGCAACACCATTCCCCATCTTTACCCCAATTTCTCAGCCGACGGGACGAGAATGCTCTCCGGATCACCCAACATGGCGGGGCGAAGCCGGTGATATTGCTAGCCCCAGGTGACGTCCTCCAAGTGAGGAGAACCTGGTCTGGCGTCGCCCACCGTCTTGGGCCCAAGACCTGCAGGCCGGGGTAGCATTCTTGTTGATTGGGTAAACAAGACAGAGGGCCGCTTGGCCCGATGGACTCAAGACATATGAGAGATGGTGAAGGGAATACCCGTGATGTGGGTTGTGAACCAAGAGCGCCAGAACAGGAGCTCATTCCGGCGAGAACCAGAAGTTTAGAGGTGCCGGTTGAACAGAGCCAATAGCGCGACCACGGCTAGCAGGTGGCAGGGGTCGTCCCTGGCATGAACATCTCCATCTCCGGCTGGGGCGAAGGGGAACCGGTCAATCAGGCTGTCTGCGGTTAAATTAAAGTTGCAATTGCAAGATGCGCCAGCTATTTATCCTAATAGCCACCTCGGGTAGTCTCCAACGTTCCCCCTCACGCAGTCCGCGGAGGTGTGGAGAATCCCTGTCGGACATGAATTGAACCATTGACTCTGATGTTGTGACGGCAACATTTTTTTTTTCCCTCTCTTGGCTTGATGCCTTGATGATAGCAACTTGTCGGTGAATGCCGAAATCAGAACAGTGATAATATCGCCATGGGGCAGAATCCTGGTCAATCTGGGTCAATTGGGCCCAGTGCCAAGTCTTTTGGTCGGTAAAGTATTCAACGGCTGGTTTCAATGTGTTTTCGTCTGTTGATGACGCCTTCCTTCTCTTGACTGGCTGGTGCTACCATAATGGCCCTTTTTTGCAGTCGATCTCACGTGCAGATGGACACTTTTCCTCCCGGGAGCGCCCTGGTTCTGTCGTTGTTCTCGCAAATGCCGTCTATATTTCTGGAGCCGTCATCCTCTTCCTCGTCCACGTCCTTAGAACCCCCAGCTCGGACGGGATGCGCCGCAGGACGGCTGGGACTGGGGTTCACATGAACGAAGTAGACACGTGAGGAGTGAACCTTTGTTCATAGGACTCCACACCTGGGAACTGCTAGTCTCTTATTGACATGCGCTCCGTGTGAGAGGTGTGTCGATACTCTGACCGACGCTCTCCACCAAGAGACTCACACCCGGCCTACCCTTCTGTCATGTCGGCTGCTAATCTCGATCGTTTCGAACGGCGTGTCTTCATGGTTTGTACGCCGCTTCGTGGCTGAGCGACATGGCAAGGGTTTTCCGACTGGTGCGGGCAATTCTTGCGCGAAAAGTTTGGTGACCTCCATCACTCAGCGTTAGCCGAATAACAAGTATTGTGATATACCGGAACCCGGCACCTTTTGTCGCGGCGCTTTTGTCTGCCATGCCGGTGATGTTCCTAAAGATGCCTCGTCCTGACTGCTAATGTTGATACTGTGCCAGTGACAGAGCAGCCGCGGGCCTCAACTTTCCTTGCTGCAAATGTACCAAACCGACCCAGCCTCCAAGAGATGCATTCCCGGTCTCGTTCGGCGATCGAATATTGGGCGATCTCAGGCGCATGCAAAGGCCTCCAAGAGAGCAACTCGTTGCACTTGAGACCCACCGCTTCGGCCTTTGCCCAGAAGTCTCAAAAATTGCTTCGACGACCTTGAGCCGTCGTGAACGACAACTTCCCCTATGAAGTATGCTCTGTCCCGACAGGCTCAGGCCGCTGCCCAAACATGATCTTGTACTTGACAATCTCAGCAATTTCCAGCTCCTCCTCCGTCTCGCCGTTGGCGCCTGTCTTCGCTTCTCCCTTGCGGCGAACAATGGCCATCGCCTTCGGGAGTTTCTTGACTTCACCGCTGAGTCTCTGGTGCTGACCGACGTAAAGAAAGACTCGCTTCATCCAAGCTGTGCTGTCATCTCCAGGTTGGTGTTCCGGAAATACAATCCTGCCAACGGGGACCTCAGGCGCAGTCTTATCACCCTCGCCGTCGGCATTGAAATGAGGCAGATTGATAGTGCCCTGCATCTCAAGTAGTGCAAGTCCTGATGGGGTCTTGATGGTTTGCGGCAAAGGGTTGTCAGACCCTGGAGAACCCTTTTTGGGCGGGTAGATTTTGACTTTCGACATGGCGGGTGATCGCTCGAGGTGCGTCAATGTGTGAAGTTCTCAGAGGCAGCGAGAGTGTATGATGTCCGCAGCTGGTGATGAGCTTGTCAATGAGATGGCCAAAGACTTGAAGATGTCGAGATTACCTAAGAAACAGCGTCTGGTCAGGTACGTACTTTCCAAAGTCCTCAATCACGTGAGAAAAAGCTCGATCCACGTTGACGTGCCGCCGCCAGACCTGGACCGGGCTCAGTCCATTCTGATTGGCCGGCCAGCTCCCCAGCCCTGAGGCCCCTAGCGACACACACATCTCGAATTTCGGCCATTTTCACTTTTCACTCTTTTTTCCCAACTAACCGCAGCCAGTCGACAACTTCACGACCCTCATCCCCAACCCGCCGGCAAGATGAAGGTAGGATATTACCACTACCCACGAGCACGACGACCAGAGAAAGAGAATTGTCATTATGTCGATTCAATTTTGCTGCTGTCCTCGCGCGACCGCCAAAATTTCGGCGGGGAAAACTTTCGAGAAAATTGACGGGCGCTGACCATTTTCTCCCAAACAGTTGAACATCTCCTACCCTGCCAATGGCAGCCAGAAGCTCATCGAGATCGAGGATGAGCGCAAGCTCCGTGTCTTCATGGAGAAGCGCGTACGTTCTTTCCCCTCTCGTTCGCGCGAAAGACCTCGTCGACGCCGAACAGACGACCCGAGTCGAAGCGATAGACAACAAAAATATGGACTAACAACCACAACAGATGGGCGCTGAGGTCCCCGGTGACTCCGTCGGCGACGAGTTCAAGGGCTACATATTCAAGATCACCGGCGGCAATGACAAGCAGGGTTTCCCCATGAAGCAGGGTGTCATGCACCCTACCCGTGTCCGCCTCCTCCTCTCCGACGGCCACTCCTGCTACCGCCCCCGCCGCACCGGTGAGCGCAAGCGCAAGTCCGTCCGCGGCTGCATCGTCGGCATGGACCTCTCCGTCCTTGCCCTCTCCATCGTCAAGCAGGGCGAGGCCGACATCCCCGGCCTGACCGACGTCGTCCACCCCAAGCGCCTCGGCCCCAAGCGCGCCACCAAGATCCGCAAGTTCTTCAGCCTCACCAAGGATGACGATGTATGTGTGCTCCTTTCGCAGTGTCCCCGCTCCGGGAACATCAGCCACTTCGTCATCGCCTACCAACGGTGCTGCGGTGGAGGATTTCAGCAGACCGGGTAGAGTGTGAGAGACGGGACCGTGTCTTCCCATCCCTTTTCCCTCCGGAAACCCCACTTCTTGCTCTTTGTTGCTTTGCTTTTCCTCAGGAACCCAGAATCTTTTCCCGACCCGAATACTTTTGAAGCCCACGAGAGCTCAAGATTTGTGTTACGAAGAGAGGAGGACCTTCGAGGGAACGAGCAGTCAAACATGAGGAAGAAGGGGGGCCAACGGAAAGAAGGGGGAAGGGAAGCACGCGTCGGCTTTTGCTATCCAAATCACAGACCCAAAAACTGCAGTTGCTAACCTAGGCACTCTTTTGCCGTAACTTATAGGTCCGCAAGTACGTCATCCGCCGCGAGGTCCAGCCCAAGGGCGAGGGCAAGAAGCCTTACACCAAGGCCCCCAAGATCCAGAGACTCGTCACTCCCCAGCGTCTCCAGCACAAGCGCCACCGCATCGCCCTCAAGCGCCGCCAGGCCGAGAAGGTCAAGGACGAGGCTGTACGTTTCTTCTCCCCCTCCTCATCTTCAGGATTACAGACGCTGACTGCCTTCTGCAGAACGAATACGCCCAGATCCTCGCCAAGCGTGTCGCTGAGCGCAAGGCCGAGAAGGCCGACGCCCGCAAGCGCCGTGCCTCCTCCATGCGCAAGTAAATCTAACCCTTGCGTATGGCGTTGGTTCAGGTGGGGAAAATGTGAAAAGGTAACGAATCACTACTTGGGGTCCCTTCTGGTTTCTCTTGCATCAGGCGCGGGAACGGGAAACGTTTTTTCAAAAAAGACGGGGAAAGAAGGATGCGGGACTGGATTAAGTGTCATGAGACCAGTCTTGAGTTCTTTTCTCAGTTCACGAATGTAATAGGGCATTCAAAATGGAAATGCTTTCTTGACGCGCAAATACCACAGCGATAAAAGTTTTTGTTTGAGATGTTTCATGACATGTCCCCTCGCGTCTTCCTCGTAATCCTGATATGCTCTCCGCAATATCTCCATTCAAAGGACGCTCATCGACTAGATGTGTGTTCGCCGGGGAGATCTTCGTGGACTTTGCCTCCAGAAAATCTGATCCACACATTTGACGTGGGCCGTTGCTCAACTTCAGGGTCTAAAATTTTCTTACCCCAGACTCACCGCCCGTCTCCAGTTGGAGCCATGGACTGAGACCCACCTTTGGCTTTCACAGATGCCCAGCAAGTGAGGGCGACGTTGAAATTAGACGTTCAGTAGACATCAATATGGGTATCAAAACGTGAAACACGATTTTTATTCTACCCCGTGGTATAAGTTCACATGAACCTGAATTTTCTATCTAAAGCAGTTCGTAATCTGCCTGAAAAAAGCAACCTTGCCTGAATGCTATTTTGTGCCGTGACGCCCACCCCTTTTTTGAGAAAGAACAAAAAGAACAACGATGCCCATGATATTGTTCCAATCTTGGGCTACTGCTGCTGCTACTGCCGGCCCTTGGGAAAGAAACCTCAAATAACCATTGGAAATAACTATCCCGATTTCTCCTACACGGGAACGTGGTTGAAGAGGTAGCTGACGCTCTCGCCGTTGTGGGTGCGGCGGATGGCCTCACCAAGGACCTGGCTGATGTCGATGACGCGCAGCTTGGGGCAGCGCTCGATCTTGTCGCCGAGGGGCACAGTGTTGGTCACGACGATGCGGGACAGGCAGCTGTTGTTGAGCGTCTCGACGGCGTTGCCGCTGAGGACGCCGTGGGTGACGATGGCGATGACTGGGACACTAGTGAGCATAAAGAACGATATCGATGAGGAGGAAACCTACCCTCACGAGCACCGGCGTTGTTGAGAGTCTCAGCAGCCCTACAGAACAGTTAGCAGACGAAAACATCGTCAGTGGCACGGTTACGTACTTGGCGAGGGTACCGCAGGTGTCGGCCATGTCGTCGACCAGGATGGCGATCTTGTCTCTGACGTCTCCGACGAGAATCATGCGGCCGACGACGTTGGGGCGAGGGCGCTCCTTGTGGATCAGGGCGAAGCCAGTCTCGAGGCGATCGGCAATACCGGTGGCTCGCTTGGCACCGCCGGCGTCGGGGGAGACGATGACGGTGTCCTCGACGCTCATGTTGGACTTGATCCACTGGAGCACACTAGGCTCAGCGTACAGGTTGTCGACGGGGATGTTGAAGAATCCCTGGATCTGCGAGGCGTGAAGGTCCATCGTGATAACGTGGTTCTGCGTGTCGCAAAGACGAGCGTCAGTCCTCATTGTGTCCTTCTTACCATTCTCCCACCAGCAGTACTTACGCATCCCGAAACCTGGAGCATGTTGGCAACCAGCTTCGCGCTGATCGGAGCACGACTCTTGTCCTTCTTGTCCTGTCTAGCGTAAGGAAAGCAAGCTGTGTATCTCCTCGTCAGCAGGCAAACCCCCCATGATGTACTTTTCGGTGGTACTGACGAATGACGGCGGTGATTCGGCGGGCGGATGCGGTTCTGCAGGCGTGGATCATGATCAGAAGCTCCATGAGGCCGTCGTTGACGTTGCCAGGCTCGCTCGATTGCAGAATGAAGACATCCTCGTCGCGGACGCTCTCGCCAACGGTGACACAGTAAAGACGTCAGTTCAAAAATGCTCCCAAACTCAAGCCGCCCATGTCGGTCGAGAGATTGTTCGCTAACCTGGTTTCTTGGTTGGAGTAGTTCAGACTGCAAGGAAGCACAGCGGTCAGTAATCAATTGCGACAATCGGGAACGCAAAGATTTTTTTTTTCGGGTTTGTTTGCGGCAGTCGGCGCGCGCAGGAGAATCGTGATCGCTCGGCGGGAGGAGGGGAATCGCTAACCTCATAGTCTTCGCAAGAGGAATTCCAAGACTGTCGCGGCGCAAAATCGCAGGTCAGCAAGAGCCATTTTCCGCCAAGCCGTTCAATTGAAGAAGGAGAGACAAACCGCTGTGCGACCTTCTGGGACAGCTCCCCGTGGGAGCTGCCCTTCAGCAGCTTGATATCGTTCGCCATGTCCCCCATGAGGTCGGTCGTAAGTGTGACGACGGGAAGAAGAGGAGAAAAAGAAAAGAGGTCGAGAGGGGGCGGCTGGTCGCGTAAATAGGCAAGGCCTGCAGTACCTGCTGATGTTTGCAGGCTAAGGTCGAGTTGCTCGGCGAATCGAAACGCAGCGCGGGGTCACGATGGAGGGGTATGGCTATCGGTCGTTTGAAGTCGCACCCAGTTGTCTTTGGAAAGTGTTGTGAGACGTGTGGTGAATGTGCGCCAGATTAGCACAGCAAGATGATCTCTGGGGTGTGAGAATAAGAGGGTCGCGTTCAGTTGCCGACAACGAGGTTGCAGATTTTCTTGTCAATTGTGAACTTTGCGGTTGTCATCGGAGAATACTGCGGGAGGGAAAGGGAAGAGAAAAAAAAAAGAGAAAAAAAAAAAACTAGCGTCCTGCCGTCATTGTTCCGCCATCGCTGAGAGGTCAACATGGTCTGTGGGGAACAAGCAAGGGTCCCCAGGTCCTCGGCTCTCTTCACCTTTGACCATCTTATGAGCGCTGGTCAGTGGTCACCATACTTTCACACAAAGTCTTCTCTAAAGAACTCTGTACTAGATGGACCACTCTAAACGCACTTGGTAAGAAATCGGGATTTACAGAAGAGAGAACAAGCCACGTTCCCAATCAGCAACGCCACTAGTTCTCTATTCTGACCTTCGTATGGCTTGCTCACTTACAGCAGATCCATGCCTTTTTCCCTTCGACCTTTCCTCTTCGGAAAGGGCCGGGCTGGTCGTCAAGCTTTCGACCACTCAGATGGATTTTGGGGTAGCAATTTAGCTGCAGGCATCAACCGTCGAAGCTCTGTCACAAACTTTCATGTACTATAGCACAGAACCAAGAATTGTCATCTAATGGACTTATTGAGTACTCTACATACTAAGCCACCAAACTCAAGAATACTACCTTGTATTCCAAGCGGCCTGCACTCCGCAAGGACACAGCCAGCATCTCGCGTTCGGGACCGAAACAAAATGAAATGATGAGAGCATCGGGCCTTGATCGCCTTCGCCTCAAACATATGTACATGCGGCCCAGGGTCCAATGATGATGCATCTCCGCTGAATAACACACACAAGTCATCCACTCCAGTAACCGTGTCCTCTGTCGCCCTTCCTCAATAATGCAAATGCTCACGTAATCGCAATTACCATGGTCTATGTCTGCGCGTTCCCGTCTTATGCAAAGCCGAAGTAGTCGCTTCCCGCCGTGATGGCCTTCATGACTTGTGCGCGAAGCGTCTCGTAGCTCTCGTACTCGGGGAGATCAAGTTCTGTGTAACTCCGTTAGTCAACTGTCATTAACGTAACATCTATGGGGAACACTGACGGTTGAAGCATGTGTGAGAGCTGGGAAGGCGCTCCTTATTGCCGTAGTCCCGATGGATATTGAAACGGTTAATTCCATTCATGCCCTCCAATTCCTTGAATCCATTGAGAGGCACCTTACTGGTGCCGGTGACGAATTGCAACAGCTTAGCCCGCTCTTCCTTGTCAAATGACCGAATCGCTCGCCAGAACCACTGTATTTGCTGAGAAGATGGGGTGTAGTTGTGGTACTCCGTGTTGCTCTTCCAGTCATCGACGTCGATGTCAGGCAAGCCCGAGATGAGCAGTTCAAGCTCCTGCTCGTTGAAGATAGAAATGAGGTCGGCCGGAATGATGTCGTGGAAACCCTTGAGGAAGTGCTCCATCTGTTCCCGGACCGAAGAGAGAAGCTTGTGCTCCACCACCAGTCTCACGTAGTCGTGCTTGTTCTCCTCGGTTACGGCAATGTCTCGGCCGTTGGGGCACAAGTCTATTGTGCGAGTCACGCCGAACTCGTCGTCTTCAACAGAGAAGGTCTCGGTGATGATGTCGGTGATGTCATTGTCAAGCATCCATACGAGCGACTTGTAGTAGTCTGGGTCAAATGACTCCATATCCTTGACAGATACAGACTTGCCTAGGATGCGCTTGTAGACTGCACGGCTGAAGTAACAGTCGAGGACTCGGCCCTCGTAGAGAGCTTTGCCGATGATGCGTCCAATGAACTTGAAGAACATGAGATGCTCATCGTTGATTCCGCTGAGAGAGTTGGGGTGGAACGTGGTGCGGTCGGAGGAGACGGGAGTGAAGAGTGCGTAGTTGGCGTCGAACATCTGTCTGGACAGGACCTGGAACCATTCGCGAGTCACACCTCCAGCGTCAACACCTTCTTCATTGTGGAAGCGAATGTTGAGTTTGCCGTACTTCATCTCATCGCCAGTCTTGAAGTAAAGCGACTTGAACGAGTCATGGAAGACATGTTCGCGACGGACGGAAAGCTGGAGCGCGGGGAATGACGGCCGCTGGTTGCTGTTGGACCGGCTGTGGACGCTGCGGTTGAAGTAGTTCCGCTTGTTGTCGAACTCCAATACCTTGGGATTCTTGACGAGGAGCGCAAAGGTTCCCGACATGAGCTTGGGGCTGTTTCGCACGAGCTCGTTGAGGATGCGGCGATGGTCCTCTGTGAAGGTGAAGAAGAGACCAGCCATGCGGTTCTCTGGGGGAGGACTGGAGAGCAGCATCTCCTTGCTTGACTGAGCCTGCGCCTGAGGATCGTCGTTCATGGCGGTGTTCTTACACACCACCATGAGTGACTCGATAAGAGGCAGCAGAATCGTGGCAACATTGACCATGTTCTCCCTCTGGCGGATGGCGCTGAGACAAGCGCTTAGCTTTTCCCACATGGTGGAGAAAGTAGAATTGTGATACAGGGAGGTAACGAGGTCCTGCTTCTCCGTCTTGCTTGCCTCAGCCTCCTCGTTACCGGTCTTCTTCTTGCTATCAAAGAGATGGTCCAGGGCAGTCAGAACACGAAGAAGCTTGTTCTGCTCAGATGCTCCAGGAGAGAACTTGGCAAGAGCGACTCCTTGGATCTCGGTTCCTGAGGTTGCCTTCTCAATGTGAGGAAGAAGTTCATCAAGATCCGCGACAATGTTCTCGCTAAGAAGACGAGCTTGGCGGACCAACTCTTGTCCGAAGGTGGCCTTGGCTCCAGGAATGGCAGACAAGTTCTTGATGGCTGAGATGGTGTTTTGGAAAGTCTTGGAGCTGCATTCACGAGCCACGAAGATTTTGACAACCAGCGTTAAGTTGTGCGGCGGAATGATCGGGACTTGCATCTGCTTCGGCCCCTTTTGGCTTGCATCCGACTTGTCGTTGCTCTTCGTGCTCTCTGCCTCCCCAGCAGCCTTGGGTTCTTTGCTGTCGACACCGGCAGGAGGCTCTGTGGCCGTCTCAGCTGACGGGTGCTCTGTGGATGCTTCGCCAGCCTCTGCTGCGTTCTCCGCGGCCTTCCTTTTCGCGTCTCGGGCGGCTCTCTCTTGCGCATCCTTGCGTCTGCGCTCCATGGTTGCCAGGGGCACAGTGATCTTATTCAACAAATCGGCCAAGTATGCCATGACTACTGAGCTCTCCATGACCAAATCTCTGTCGAGGAGAGTGAGAAGAGAGTTGATAGCGTACTTGTGAGACTTAGAGTCCTTGGTCTTGCCTTTGCGGCTGAGCGTGCGCTTGAGAGAGGACCCAACCGTTTCATGCTCCGTGAGAAACAGCATAGGAATGTGCGGGTTCTTCGCTGACAGATCCTGCAAAAGGTCCAAGCACTGGTGAACAACCATGAGAGGGGAAATTTCTGAGTTAGGCTGATGTTGTCCCGCGGGAATGAGCGATGTCAGAGTCCGCTTAAGATTCTGAGGCGTCCTCGGGTCGGTATCCTTGTCCTTGGGCTTCTTGGCCTTCAGAGAGAGCTGGCTGAAGCTACGCTCCACAGCATCCATGTCTGTGCTGCCTTCTTGGAGAATCAGCAGAATGGTGCTGATGACCTCGAGGCGGTTTTGACGGTTTTCACAAACATCAGCCAGGACGCTGAAGAGATAGTTGCGGATGGAGCCGATCTGCGAAATGAACATCAGGCGCAGAAGAGTAGCGACTCCAGGCTTGTCGAGCATCTGGACAACTGTCCTGCGCTGAACTTTGTTCTCGTTGTTCTCCACAGAGTCAGGCTGCGGCGGACCAGTACGTCGTGCGGCTATAGGCGGGCTTCTGCCCGTGACGGCGGGATGAACGGCATGCTGTTGAGCAAGGAGGCGCGCTTGAGCAGCCATTTCAGGAGGCAAGTGGTCCATGATGTCCTCTCCTTGGTCCATGAGCACCTGCTGACGCAGTTCTGGAGGGAAAGTCAACAAGATACTAGCTGGGTCCATGTCCACTGCAATCTGGTCTTGTCCTGCGGTCGTTGCCTGGCGGCGCTGTTCGTCTCGCTCGCGCCGGCGGGCCTCTTGTCGCTCTTGTTGAACTATTTCGAGGCGGAGATCCTCAGGGAGGGCATCGAGGAATTCTTGGAAGACCTCGCCTTGCTCGCCGGCGGCATGATCTTCGCGAGCCTGAGAGCGCCTGGTGCTGACGGTTTGAGCGATGACCTCCTCTCTGAACTCTTCTGGGAGAGCAGCCAGGTACTCGGGATCAATGCCAAGCTCCGTCACATCGACTTCCTCACCCCTGATAGTTGTGAGAACACGGTTGGCATCGGCAGCCGCGTCGTCGGCAGAGGGCACAGCTGGCTCTTGGGTCTCAACACCTTCCATAGCATGTGGATCACCTGCGGATTGCTGGGCTTGCTGGGCAGACGCTGAGTCACGTTCGCCAGCGGCGGCAGCGGCAGCGGCAGCTTCGGCAGCGGCGCGTTCTTGTTCCTCACGCTCTTCGGCCTCCTTCTTCTCGCGAGCCGCCTTCTCTTCGGCTTCCTTGGCTTCCTTGAGCCGTCGTGCCTCTTCCTCAATCTTCTTGCGCTCCTCTTCACGGATCTTGCGTCGCTCCTCCTCCTCAGCCTTGAGCTTCTTCTCGAGCTCCATGGCCGGCGGAACAAGCTTGGAGAGGAGCAGATTGATGAGCTTTTGAGCCTTCTCCACGAAGTGGGCACCGCCAAACACCATTCTGGCTTCTTCTTGATACCGTTCAAACGTCGACTCCGGGGTGAACGCAACAGCCTGTTGAGGCTCGTGATACGTCGTCTCACGGCGACTGTCTGCTCTAGGCTCGCGAGGAGCGACGTGGTACTCACGCACCTCTCCACGTCCGTTCTGCGTGATGGAGAGATGAACGGCAGGCTGTCCGCGCATGACTGGCAGGGATGCGACGAGGTCGTTAAGAATCGCAATAGGACTGTTCGACAATTGCGCACCAGGGCCGAAAATCTCGGGAGGCAGACGCAGCCCAATCATGCCAGAACCGGGCGGGGGTCGAGGGGACGACTCTCGGCCTTGACCGTTGCGGCGCAACAGAGGGTTCACACCGTCGTCGACATTGTTAGGCACAGCGCTGGGCCTGTGCCGCGGCGAGAAATAGCTCCTGAACTCTCCGAGTGGATCACGGCCGCTGCCAACCATAAAGCCAGGCGGGAATGGGCTTCGGTGTCCATGACGGTGGCGATGCACGTGATGAGGGTGACCACCAAAAGGCTCAACAACCAAGGTATCCCAGCCGAGAGCTGCTGGTAGGTTAGGAGGTGGATGGTCGTGGGGGTATTCTTCTTCGTAGATGAGGTCGTCTTCGTCCATGTCCTCGTCGTCGTCTTCGTCTAGTAGTTTTCATTAGCGTTGTCAAAGGTTACACGGGAGGCCGGGGTCTCACCATCGTCATCGCGCCCGTCGTCAATGTAGTGATCGCCAAGATCATCCATGTCGTCGCCTTCGTAATCCTCAGGATCCATGACAGCCCGAGCAAGATTGTCAATGATATCTCCAGGTTCCATGCCGTGCATATGGGCCTCGTCAGCATCCTGGATCTCGGCTTCATAATCGACATCTTCGTCATCGTCATCTTCATCGTCCTCTTCCTCGTCTGTTTCTTCGCTCTCCCATCCCGAAGCGCCGTCGTCATCAATGGGGTTGCCATCTTCGTCAACAATCTCCTCAACGACGTCTAGATGATCTTCCATGTCCTCCATATCGTCAGAGTCCATTTCATCGTCTTCGCTCATCTCATCGTCATCTTCATCCATGTCATCGTCTTCGTCCATAATGACCTCGACGACACCAGGTTCTCCGCGAAGACCCTCAATCTCACCCATCTCGCCAAGCTCTTCGTCTTCGTCGCTGACACCTTCACCGTCATCGGACACGTCTTCGTCGCCATAGTCGAGCTCGTCGCCGTACTCGTCGTCGTACATCTCTTCATCATCGTCCTCTGCAATCATATTAGCTAGATTTTACCTGGATTCAATCAGGATCTTACCGTCTTCATCTTCCGACTCGTCGTCGCTTCCACGAGGCTCAAGCATGCCCAAAGCGGAGTTGCGGTAGAGGTCTGGCGTTTCCTCTCTATCGTCATCCATGTCGGACATTGAAGATGTAGAGATAATCTCATCGTCCGCGGTCTCGGGAAGAGATGCCGATGGGAGGACGTGGGAGCGGCTCAGTTCCTTCGCAGTGTCTGTCAACACGCGCAGCACTCTGAGTACATACTTAATGGCACGCTTTACGCCGGCGTGGCCCAAGTCAACCTCGGCAATGGAAGAAGTCAGCTTATCGAGGTAGCCCTTCTCATACATCATCCTGCGCAACTGGGCTTGCGATCGTCCCTGAGGAGAGTCCAGCGCACGTTGAGACGTCGACTCCTTGTCCTTCTCACCGATGATGTGGTTCATCAATTCGGCAAGACACTGCATCTTGGCGTAACGCGTGTCAATGGGCTCCTCTGGGGTAGCGGCACGCTCGTAAGCCTTGAGGATTGTGTCCAGAACGAATTTGCGGACAAAGAGCAAATCAGGCTCATCATCGTACTCGAAACGGTCGCGGTTCTTGTCGACGCCCTTTTCTCCAGTTTTGGCTACCAAAGCGACCAGTACTTGTTGGGCCTGGGCAGATGTTGCTGCTTTCTTCTTGGACAGGATGCTATCGCCGCTGTCGCTGAGGCTGCCCTGACAGAGGAGGTCGTGAATGAGGTAGTTAAGGACACTTGACCGAGGCTTGACAGGCGTGTTCGTCTGCAAGGGGGCGCTCCGCTTGAAGTTAATGAACTCAACCTTTGTTTGATTATAGCTTTGGAGAAGTTCCGCAATGCAGTTAAGCAGGAAACAGCGGTAGATGAAGATGGGATGATCCTCCGCCTTGAAAACGGGCTTGGGGGATTTCTTGTCCTTGTCCTTGTTGTCCGCAACGTCTTGGCTGTCAGTAGCGACGTCTTTTGATGCGGTCTCCGAAGTTGAAGTGCTTGCAGATGGAGTGGCTTTTAGATCCTTCGTAGGTTGTGCTGCCTCCTTGTCGTCAACCTCGCGATAGTTGAGTAGCTCGCAGAGGAGGAAATGGATGATGCCATGGGGGTTCTCGACAACTGGACGCTTTGATTCCGCTGGCTTCGGTGCATCAGCCATCTCCTTGTCGTCCATCTCAGTTGACTGCTTGACATCGTGGATAGACAAGTCTTCCGTAGCCTGTACAGCAGGCTCCACGCTCGCGTCCTTGACTGTCGTAGCGGTGTTGCCCTCCGTCTCAACTTCCTTGAGTGCTAACTGATGGGCCCGCGTACTGCCCTCGCTTCCCGGAACATAACGAGAAAGCTTGGTTAGCTCATTAGTAACTTCCACGAAAAGATCTGGAGACCGCAGCGCGAGCGGTGCCATGTTGCGCAAGTAGGTGCTGAGATCCAGGTTTCTCTGAGTACGCTGGGGGTTTTCGAAGAGGCTGCGCACCTCAGCACGCATGATTTGCTTGAGCGTCTCTTCGTCCTCGACAATGTGTCTCAAGATAGACATGATGCTGCCAGTGGTCTTCGTCTCTTTCAAACGAGCGGCACCTGCCCCTGCAAGTTGCTTGGCCATAACAAACAAGCGCTGGAGATTCTTCTTTTCTCCAACCTTCTGCGCGATAGAGGGCTTGCGCGTGAGAATGACAATCACGCGAAGGACGGAGGTGGCAAGTGTCTCCTCCTTTCCAAGAACGGGAAGCAGACGAAGTATAGCCTCCAGCAAGTCATTGCGCTGACTGTCCGAGACGATTGGGTTGCGGGGGGGAAGGACCGCTGGCGTGACAACCTCATTTTCGTTGGCAGGCGGTTTCCATTGGGCCTCAATCGGCTGCTCATCGTATGACAGGAGCAACTCGACGATCAAGAGAATGTATGGGATCCAAGGAGGCAATTCTTCGTTTGAAGTAGGCAGAACCTTGAGATTAAGGAACGACACGTACTCGTCGACCTTCTCTCTCAATGTGTCGATGTTGCACTTGAAAAAGCTCTTTTCTTGCATCAAAAGAGCCAGTAGATGAGCATAGGCAGCGATGCTAGTTCCGTTAGACTTAGACTCGGTATCATCGAATGATAGTGAAGTAAGGGCGTTGGCCAAGGTTGCGCCAACCTCATCCCGGACTTCATCATTTTGCTGGCGGAAGACCATAGCGCTGATGAGCTCCGAGAGCTCAATGGCTGACTGCGGGTGTGCTCTGACGATGTCCAGGGATCGGTCGATGAGGTTTTCTCGCAATTTCGCCCGCTCGTTGTCGAGTTCTTCCTTGGCTGTCAACCGGGTCTCTGTCTTTGTCTCCTCAGGGGGGTTTGCTGGCGCAGAGGTGCTAGACCTTGCTTGAGTTTCGACGGCCCCTGCAGGGCTTTCGGTATCAGCAGCGCTCCACTCAGCCGGCGGTGCTGGCTCTGCCTGGTCACCCGGCCCTGCATCATCAAGGATACGGTCCAAGACTGCTCCGGGCCTGCTGGCGAGATCCTGGTCGACATCGACAGCCATAGCGTCTGCGTCGGTGGGAGTCGCAGAGGCTGGTGCATCTTGCTGGCTAGAGGATCGCGATGGCTCGGGACGAGTAGGCGGCGCGTACGCATCCTCGGCCGGGATGGAATTGCGTCGTCCGGCCTTGCCAGCCTTGTGAAGGCGGCTGTACTCGAGAGCCCATGATTGATTGCCGTTGGCTCTAAAGACTGCCTCACGAGCAAGTTCTTCATCAGCTCCATCCTCAATCAAGGAGTCGATCAGCCCGGTGTGGTTATGCCAGCCAAAGGGAACTGCAGTCTTCTTGAAGACCTCAGACACGGGCTTGTCTCGGGAGGAGCCTTCGTTTTCGGCGGTGGAAATGATTTTGAGGATCTCGATGATTTTGGCCACCGCCTCAGGCCGCAGCTTCTCGATCAAAGTGGTCTCCCAAGTCTCGCGGATCACTGGGAGGACGGCCATGCGAACCTCAACGACAATCTGGTGGGAAATTGGCGTCTCGGGGCGTCTCTCGGATGTTCGAGGAAGAAGTGAGAATTGCGTCGTAGAGTCTGCAATGTTTTTGCCATTGACGAGTGCGGCAAAAAACTCGAAAATCTTACCGAGTCCGAAAGAGGCAACCCTGGCACTGGCAGTGGTGCCCGCGTCGGAATCGCCAGATTCTTTGCACATCTCTGACTTGAAACGTCGAACCATTGAAGTGATAACCTCGAAGCCGCCCTGCTCTACGAAGGCAATCAATACCGGCATAATGATCTGAACCGAAGATCGGTCGGCAGAAGATCGGGACGTGTCCATCAGCATCTCCGTCAGAGTGTGGAGCATGATAATCCAGTAATGATACTCCTTCGCCGTGGGCTCAGTCAAGGCGACAGAGGGCCTCAACTGGTCGAGAATTGTTGCGGCAACTTGCCTAGCAAGATCGACATGCTTTGGCCGAGAGTAGCCGTCACGCTCGCGGCGGGGGAAGAGTGCCTTGCCAAGCTGCTGGAAAAAGGGGAATGTCGACGGCACCATGGAATGAAGAAGAATGCGCAAGGTTTCGTAGTTGCGATACCTGGACGTGGCTTGCTCCTGCTTGGTAGGTACCTTGTGCTGAAGAGTGTTTGGGCTCGCAGTTTGAGCGGTGGTTGCGGCTGTACCAGATGCATTGTTCTCTGGCGCGGTACCATTCTCCGTGTCGACTTCCGCAGTCACTTGGGGAACCGTAACATCGCTTCCGGGTGCCGGCCGCTTCGCCCACCAATGTTGAGGGAGCACATTGTGCTCAGCACCTTCCTCGGCCAATACAGCCTTCAGAAGAGGTCCCAGTGACTTCAACAAGTCTAGATAGTAGTCAAAGACGTTGATAGCGTACAACTGAACCGAGTTGGAGCGCGGCGACGACGTAAAGCACTCGTAAAGTGTCTTGATCAGCGACTGTGCAGTAAGCAAAGCCTTGACCATCTTCGTGCCTTGTAGGACGAGGTCCTGAGTCTCCACATCGAAGCTGCGTACTTCCTCGACCGTCAACTTGTCGTCGGGGTTGAGGAATGGGGCGAAGAAGGGAGTGTCCTTTTTGTGCTCGGCAAGCGGTCTCAGAATCTCCACTGAAGCTTGCGCGCGCTTAAGAAGGGACGGCAGACCAAGCACCGGGGAGTGTTCAACTAGCTGTGAGATGACGAGATGCAATGTTCTAGAAGCATGGGAGTCGCAAAAGTCATGCGGCAAACTGGGAAGCTCGGCAATGTCCAGCAACAGCTCAATACCACCATTGCTGACGAAGTATGTCTTGAGCGTGTTGTTATTGAAGTACGCCGAGAGGAAGCTGGACAGAGCGTAGACGTAGGGAGTGATGTCGTCGTAGGCAGTAGCAGACGGGGACGATTCATTGCCTGCGGGCTTCTCCGCCTTTTCTGATGGCCCAGCCGCATCCGACATTTCCACGTCCAAGTCGGTCTGTGCGGCCTTCTCCTTTTCTTTTGACCCAGAGGCATCAAGACGGCTCCTCAGGCTCTCGTCCGCTGCAACAGGCTTCTGCGTTCCATCGTTCAAAAGGAGCTTGGCCCCCCAGTTCGCAGTCTGGGCCTTGTAAATGCCGAGGGATCTGACTCTGGCAACCATATCAATAACCGCATTCGAGATCGGGCGTCTCAGGTGAGGATGATGTCTTGCAAGCTCGTCGAAGCTAGCACCGACATTACTGGCGAGATGCGGGTCGGTCTCCATTGTGTTGACGTGGGCGGGACTCTCAAAGATTTCCAGGAACGACTCGAAAGCTCGCGAGGACACCACCATCTTGAGACCGGCATTGTTAAGGCAGATGGAGTTGAGAACCTGCGGAACAACGTTGATCGCGTCGGATGTGGGCAGAATACCCCGGGCCAAAGGACGATCGTGTGAAGAGGCCAGTTCGTCCTGCGGAGGCGGGTGAGGTCTCTTGTCATCAGATTCAACATGGACGGAAGCGTCGGAGGAATCGGGACTGCTGCCGCCCTCGTTGTCGCCACGGCTTGCAGCTTCCTGCTCCTCAGACTCTGGAGGGGGCTGCACAGCTGGCTGATTGGTGACAGGCTGGCTCGTGATTGCCTCGAGGTAGCTTACGATCATGCCAGACTCGGAAATAGCAGCAAAGCTCGTGGGGTCATTGTTGATAAAATCGCTGAGAACGGTGACCGTGCTAGTCCAAAGGACCGAACCGAAGCGCATGGTATTCTGCATAATCTCTCGGAGGCTTCCGAGCAGTTCCGACTTATCCACGAGGTTGCGCAAGAGTCTGTCGGTGTTACCGCCATAGCTGTAAGAGTTGGTCATGATGTGATGAATGAACTTGAGGACCCATTTCAGGGTCTGCTGCTGGTTGTAGGGGATCTCATAATCGACGATTTGGCTCTGGTTTTCAGGCTTGTTTCCTTTGCCTGCCTCAACCAACTGCTTCGCCTCCACGACAGTGGTGACCAGCAGGTCAGAGATGGCATCAAGACCGGAGCCGTTAAAAAAGCTCTGGAAGGCATTCTGGTAGGACCAGATCAGGTTGTCAATGAAGGAAAGGATCATCATCTGGTTGCGCTGGGCAACGTCGGATCTTATCTTCAAGATCTCCACCAAAATGTCCATGAGACCTGCGGTCACCATCTCAGCACCAATTCTGGTAGACATGGCAAGGTGAGTCGTCAGAGAGAACAGCTTTGTCCGCCACTCATCGACTTCCGTTGTTTGAATGCCGCGATCGGGCTCATCCGTCTTCATTCCAGCAACTGCCTTGCGAATAACATAGAGCAGGATGCCATGGTTGACGTTGGCATTGAGTGCTGACAAGACATCCTGGTATCGGGCCGCGAAGTTCGAGATGGCCTCAAGCAAGGCCAAAACGATGGACTGGAGCCAAAGGGGTACTTGGATTGAGCCATCAGCAGGCGGGTGAATGAGCTCCGCCAACTGGTAGGCAAGCTGGTAACGTCTGGTCTCATCGTTGTCGTGACGCAGTACCTTCTCGACGAACGTGGTCTCTGGATGGATGTACGCGAGATTGTTGATCGCAAGTAATCTGATGGCTAGGACTTGCTGCCTTGACTCGGTGCTGCCCAAGAGAGCCTTGGCAACTCTCAGCCGGTTGAGGACCTCATACTTGGCAGAAGCCGGCATGTCGGCCGGACACCTCGAAAGCAGATCGTAAATAGAACTAGAGGCAACGACTGACTGCGGAATGTCAAAGATTCTTTGACTTGAGCTAGCGTGATCATTCGTAGTGCCGGGGCTCCGAACGCTCAGAGGCGAGGTGTCGTCTGCGCCAGGCTGACGGGCCGATCTGGGCGTGTTATGTTGAGATCCAGCCGTCGTGCTGCGTCTCAGAGGAGTAGGCGTAGTAGGGACACTAGACGCAACCCGATCCGCAGGCACATGAACGGGCTGTTCGCGAGTTGTTGAAGGTGCAGTGTAAGAGACCTTGATGTCCCCCCAGCCATGCCAACGTGCGTTGTCTGCCGTCAGAACAGAGCCCAGGTCGTTGGCGAACATGACAGCAGCGTTCTTCTGGCTCGAAACCTGGGCCTTTTCCTTGCCTTTGGAAGCCGATGTGGGTGTGCTAGTAGCCACGGGATCCGAGAGGCTTACGATAGGAGTCTTGGCGAAGGGCAGGGCAAGAGTGTGGACACGATCCAAATCGATCTGGTAGTGGTTACCCAGAAGTGCAGTACTGACGGTGCGCGAAGCGTTTCCTATGCGCTTGACGGAAGCCTGATACCGCTGAGCCAGCTCGGAGCTGACGCGAAGGGTGGCGAGCAGAATGGACAAGACTGTGGTATTGAGCAGCTTGTTCAGGACCATGCTGCTGGAATAGATGCTCCGGTTGCCGCAATGCTCAAGCAGCACACGGGTGAAGTTGAGGACAGCCTCGATGAGTTGCCTGTCGCCATCTTGGTTGTATCCCAACTTGGAGAGCCGCTCGGTATCCCATGTCTCGTCGCCGTACGATTCGGTCTTGGTACCTGTGTTGAGAAGCAGCTCGCAAGCGAAGTCGCGGCCTTGAGGGCCCTGGTCGAGGCTGTAGGTGGTGCAGAAGCAGTCCAAGATGTTGTCGAAGTGGTTGAGAAGTGGGATCCAGTGGTAGAGATCACCTCTGGGGAAAGGCCATCTCGTCGGAAACTTGGCCAAGTGGTCTGGGAGGAGGGGCAGGGGTGTCGAGCATGCCGACGTGACGAAGTCCTTCAGCCATGGAGACTGGGCGAGGTTAGCAAGGTGACGGGCAAATGAGGGAGGTCTGCGAGTTGGAGGGGAACTAACCAAAGTCTCGGCATGCTTAGGCTGCATCTGCTTCGTTATCTTCCCCATCGTGGGCGAGGGCGGCCAAGCCGCAGGTTCATAAGTGCAGCCTTGCTAGCTAGCCCGTGCCGTAGAAAGAAGTCTCGTTCGCGCAACAGGGTATTTCGTAGGCGGTGGCGCAAACGGAGTGGTCGCGAAAAAGGGTATCTCTTTGGATGGCGTCAAGGGATATTATGGAAGACGTTAAGAGTTTTGCAGTCGTGAAGTCGAGAAAAGGCGACCGGGTGATGATGGGAGAGCTCGGGTAAGGTCGATACAGAGAGGTGCAAGGCCGAAGGTGCAGGACGTCCTTGCAGGGCTACCGTACAAACAGCTTCGCCGAGCGGTCAGTTGAATCGTTGGCGGGGTACGCGTCGCAAGGAAGGTGACGGTGATTCCGAGCTAGCAGCAGGAGGCTAGAACAGGCCGTCGATCGCAACGAGTGTCGGGTGTTGGAGGCGGGAGGAAGGAAAGGTGGAAGGCGAAAGGTGGGATGAGATGTTGGAGAGTTTGGTGGAAAAAGAAGTTGCAGATGTCAAATCGGTATGGAAAGGTAGGTGCGGTTACAGTGGGCCCTTTGCGTAATAGCAAGGAAGGTAGAGGTAGAGGTGGGAGGCACTACTACGCCGTAGGTCCCGGTCTGGCAGGCACCTCAGGTATTAGGTAGCTTCCAAGGCGGGCAGCTCTTCCCAGGTGTAAAACGTGGAGGCACCTAAATTTTTTTTTCACTCTCGGTTGGACTGGCCTGAAGAGGTGTCTAGGGCCAGTGGTGTGTTGCGTGCACCACCTCAGTCATCCATTCGATCAGCTAGAGCGTGTGTTGGGAGAGAGATGGAGCGGTACTGGCTCATTGGTTGGTGCAGACCAGACGGCGACGCAGATGGACGGCAAGCAGGAGCAGGCAGGCGGGATGTTTTGGCGGGCAGCAACCTCCCTCGCCTCAGTAAGAGCCGACCGGGGACACTGTGTAGCAGTGGGCTGCCGGGCGGTAAGGCTGGCCAGGAATTCCGGCCGGACACAGTGAAAGCGGGACGCTGGACGGAGAAGAAAGAAGGATAGCGGGGGAGGTGCGCGCACGGTCCATTACACGCTTGACTTTTTGGAAAGAACGCGGTCGAAAGAAGGCAACCACCTCGGTACGTACCGAAGGACCGACCAGCAAACAGGAGGGCCGGGACATCACCTCAGTCACATCGCACTTGCAGAGGCAATTACTTCTTTCCTTATCATGCATATGCCCCCATAGATGTGTGCCTAACATTCAATATTCTTTGTCACAGCCCGAGAAAGAAAGAGTGAGAGAAGAAGAAAAAAAATCATGGATAAGGTAACAGGTATCTGCCACCTCATCTCAAATTTTGGCAGCCCATGTGGCAGCCGCTGGCCATGTCACTTAGCGGGGCAGCTAGCCGGCTGGATGCCTCAGCTAATGTGAGTTGAGGCAAGTACACAATGCGCTGTATTCATAAACCGCCTTGCTTTGGTATCCATGGCTTAATGACAACCTTTCTGATCGATTTGCGAAGGCTGACATACTTATCTTGGCTATTTCCTCGAACTGAAGCCCACGTCCAATCCGGTTCGCGAGCAATGGCCTCAATGAACTTAGAAGCATCAACGTGCAGTAGAATATGACATAACACTGGACCTCTTGAACCCCACATCCTACGTAGGTAGTGTCTGTAGACCGGCGTGCAATAATTAATCACAGTCACAAAAACCCAACGGCACAGGCCAGTGTCATCATTGGCTTGTCAGCTTGTCTGCCTTGTTGCCCAATTCTTCCACTTTTAAGCCAAGCCCAAACTCCTCATTTTCAAACTGACTCTCCATTCTGAGGCATTTGTCTGCATGGAACTACTGGTACATGTTTCGCATGGGCCGTGACGTATGTAACACCTTGATGCCGGAGAAGAGTGTTGTGAGAGATTTGAGAAACTTCACGAGGTTCGCCTATGCATGTGTGTGTTGTCAGTCCTACTACCCAAGTTCTGGACGCTATCAAGTTGCAAAACGAATTAGACAGTCGTCTCACTACACATAAATCGAGGCTTCCAAATCCTTCTTTATTTCAAGCTGTCTTTTTGCAACCTACATTGTTGAAGGCTGCAGTTAATTCAAATTTTCTCGGAACGTCGCGAAGAAGAACCACGTGTGCTGAGTTCCTGTACCTAGACCGTTGGAACGTGCAGGACAGTATTGGCTAAGAAAAGACAAGACACCTACTGTTATGATCGTGTCAAGACAAGTATGGATGTCTCATTGTTTATCCAAACAAGATTGGCTCGCCTGCCTGCTCTCCTCGCCATCAGGGTGTATCTCTTTCGTCTTCCAGACAAAGTTTTCATCTAGTCAGGCGCAGAAGCGATCTCAGCATCAACATTAGTGAAGGCGCATCGTAATCTTATTGATGAGTCAGGCAAGTAAGTTGGGTATGGCAGCAAGCAGCAAGGCTCTGTTTGGGTGTATAAGTGTGCACAAGATACGAACCACACCACCACAATGTAATTAGCCATCTGACCGGGTCGCATTGCATCGTAAGCTTGCGACAATTTTAAGAAAACAACATCTCGCATGTTAGTAGAGTTCATTAAGAATTATTAAATAGTAATGCTAGTAGTCAAAGTAAGCGTGCCCTTCTCAACGAGTTCAGACGAATTTCCAAACGCGAGTCAAAGAAAGCATCTCGACTCGCGATCCATGAAAGTCACGCTTTTGACTCTTTCGCGATCTCATTAGCGTAGTTCCCTCTAGCTCATTGTTTCCATCGGAGCTATCTTCACATCTCCTGTTCATCGCCAGCACATGACATCGAGTGGCTGAAGAGCAACAGCCTCCAACCTCTGTATACTGAATAATGGCGCTCACGTGGCTCGCGCCCAATCTTTGGATGTGGCTGGTGCTGTTCGAAGAGGTGATTTGCGAGTGGCACTGCAACATTCCAATGCCGTTAGACGAGAAGATGAGTGCCGGCGGCGAGTGTGAATCAACCAGCAGGGGACGGTAGCCCCCACGAGCCAAGCCAACGTGAAGGAGGCAGCCTCCTTGAGTGCCAAGGCGGTAAAACGAGGTTGAATGGTGAAGTCCAAGGCAACGGCAGCCCACCGGCTTCTTGGACGGCAGGAGAAGCGCCCTCGGTGCGGTCGACCGCCGAGCCGGCTCAACCAACACAGCAGAGTAGACGCGGCGTCACGCCGGACCTGCGGGCCCTCGGAAAGGGGAAAAGGGCAGGGGCGGATGAGATCTACCGCCGATTGCAACGGCGTAGGAATCTGCAGATCACACCAATGGTGAATGGCTAGAGATACGGGTGTTCTACTCTTGGAGCCGCTGGCTGAGTGAGACAAAGGCAAGTACCGGGAAGGTACTCTATATCCTGCCAGCCCCCCCCCCCCCCCCCCCCCCCCCCGCCTTCGGGGCCGGGCCGCG